GAAATATGTCAAATCTTAGTCCAAATGGGCTCAGAAAAGCTATAAAGATTTATTCTGCACCAGTAGGTGGCGTTGGTGTCAACAAACTAGAATAAATGGGTCCAACGTTACTACCATCTGAATGATGTTTCAGTTCTCTTTCGACGTATCTCACTCATGTTTCACGTCTTTCCAGTCATCTCTGTGGACAAAGGGTTTAAACTGTGGCAAATGTTCATGTTTTTGAGAACAATTATGATAAATGAGCTTTAAACCAGATCATTTTAGGGCTAACATGGTTTTACTGCGAAGAGGTTGATGTGTCCTATGTAAGAAAAACTAAAAATCAAAGATGTATAGACCACGTGGTTAATGCAAAACATTTCAGCATTAACATTCAAATGCATTGATTTACAGACTATTCATTAATGTAAATGTCAGTGAGTTAAAACTATTGAACATCCCACAATAATCAAAGTGGTAATGATTTTTAAAAAAAAATCAGTAACATAGTACTAGCTACATTATATGAACTATTAATTATTTTATTGATTAATTGGACATAAAGCTCATATGAAGTGCTTTGGAGTCACACAACAACAGACTATTTACCATTTGTTCCTCGTTTCAGAAATGTATGATTTTTTTTTTTTGTTTTAGATGCATTAATTATTCTCATTTCTGCTTGCTTAGAAATGCAGAATAGATGATTTTCACATGTGCGCATTAAACATTTGTTTTTGTACATAGCCTTTCAAATTGTAGCAGAAACTATGAAGTGAAAACAAACCTAAGATTTTCCAGAGCATGGGAAAATAAAATAAAATAAAGCAATCAGTTCACCTTTTATTCTATAATAAGCATCAGCCTGTCTGTTTCCTCCGTTTCCATGTTTGAATGTTTTTCTCTGGATCTTCCCTGGAGATCCACGGATTCTGTCGAATCATTTCCGAACAAAAGGAAGATCCCTGTTTTCCTGCTGTACTAGTGACAGGAATTATCTGCCGTGGTGCTCCTGGTGTTGTTGGCTCCTCTCACGATAAGACGTGTGAACAGCACTCCAGTTGTTTCCAAGCAGGTCGACACCGCCGTCATTTTCATCAGCACTCTTGTTCAGGTGCTGTTCCTTTGGGCTCGCTGATTTCAGGGCTTATCTTGTTAAGAACCCCCCCTCCCACACACACACACACACACACACACACACACACACACACACACACACACACACACACACACACACACACACACACACACACACGCATTCTCGCTTTGCCACAGATCTCAGCGGCTGTCAGGGACTCTCAGCCCTGCACATTCACCACTATTATTGGTGATTGTGGAATGACACTAATTAAAGTCATTGATGTTTAAAATCAAGCGTCCTGCTTGTTTTGTCACAAAAGCTGGCGGAGCCGGCGAGCCCGTCCCGTCGTGCGGTTATCATGTCATTTGTTTTCGAGCCTGGTGAAGGAACGTGCGCCTGCGAGTCTCTTCATTAAAAACAACACCTTCAGCTCCGCTTGAGATTTTTACATTTCAATTTCAGCTTTCATTTGCAGTTGAAACCCAGAGTCTACGTTTAATTTCAGTTTCTAAGAGAAGAACGACTCTTAATAAGCATCTTCCATGTTTAACTGGCTCTAGTGACTAAATTAATATTTACTTAAATAAAGCTGTAATTGCAGTTGTTTACAAAATGTACACACTATTGAAGCAAAAAAAAAGAAACTTTTAATTTAGCCAAGCAGTTTAAATCTTATTAAAAACAAAAACTACAAAAGCAATTTATTTGTGTCTCTTCTGCTTTTTAATATAAAACCCACTTGTACATCCATTGCTTCTTTGATTTGTCTGCATCGTTGTCTGAAAGTGCAGACAGCGGCGCATGGTCGGTATGACAGATTGCTGCAAATTCAACAAGGGAATGCAAGTAACTTAATGCTATCTGCTTGGTTTCAGAAGAAAAAACTTTCTAACCAAAGTGAATATTAAACTGAACTTGATTCATTGTTCAGTCAGTTGGAACATATGTATGAATGATTTAACTGAATTGACTTTTTACACTTTTGCGTCGGCGACATATATTTAAACTGAATTGAGTTGGACCTGAAACCAAACAGTTTTCTTTCCTTTACTGTAATCTTTAAAGTTTTTTGTGTATTTATTTGAACAATGGCTGAATTAAAAACATTCTCTGCGACACTCATTTGGGTGAAAACCATTAAACAGAGAGCCTTTGTCATCTCCCCAGTGGCCACAGCAGTCCTGCCGACGGGCCAGTCACCTGCTCCCAAGCCCTGCAGCAGCTTCCCTGAACAATCAAGGCTGCTGGTCCAAACACGGAGTCTGTGCTTGAAGCGTCTCTGAATATTTTTCTTACCTTGATTAATAAAAAAAAACACAGTTTCAGATGCAACAAACAAAACTTTTGTGAATACCTTTGACTCAGTTTCTGCAGTTTCTAACTTTTGCTGCACTTTTCCTGATATTTGTATCTGATCTGTGGATAAACCAGCCACCACAGGCCACTGGCCTCCCCTCTGACCTGTCCAGCCTGCAGATTTATAATCAGTAGCCTGTTTGGTCTCATAAGTTTAGAGTAATTTGACAGTGTTGCCAGAGAAGCTGCTGTGTCAAGTATTTTTGGTTTGCAGAGGGAGGACAAGCTGTAACAAGTTTCCACATCTAATCGGGTGCAGGAGGGCACATAATGATCTCTGTTGGGTTGGGATGAGTTTGGCATCAGGAAACTGCACAAGTTTCTGCAAACTAGAGGTTTGATGTTCCCACATATTTGTCTTCATTGCCCTTTTCTGCTTATGATTTTAATAAACAAAAATGGCTCAGAGCTCGTGTCAACAAGTCTTTGTTATATTTTTGCACATAAGTTTTGTTGCAACATTTCTTCCAAGATATTAATTCAAAAGTTCAGAAATAATAAGATGTGACAAACTTTTCTTCTTGGCTCAGAAATTGAGCCTCGGTATCAAGAAAAATACAGTTTTCAAACAAGAATATCGTCGAAATGTATTTCCAGCAAAGAAAAGTTTATGTTTTTGCAACTGTAGTGGACTAAAAATCAGCAAACCAATTTCCGAAATATTTCCTGGAAGCTTTGAGTTAGTAGTTTGAAAAATATAAAACACCTTTTGGTCTGGAAATTAGCTGGAAACGAGCATTGGAGGATTTTAAAGCCCTTAAAGTTGGCCAAATATATTATTTATTTAAAAAGTTTCTAAAGAAACAGGTTTGAAAAAAATGTTTCACGTTGCAGAATTTAGCAATTGTTGTTGACTGTAGTCCAGACTGCCTTTTTAGTTTTTATTGGAGATATAGCTAGCTATAAAAACATAACTGGGCTCACAATGCGATAGTTGGTCCATCTGCTCTAGGTGAATTTTGTCTGGGATAGAAATTCACCTGTCAGTTTCCCACCTTTCCATGGTTCAAGACTGTTTTAAATTATTAAAATGATCACATAATTTGTATGTCTGACTTTTACCCAGAGCTTATTCTCTTCTAAATACTTTCCACTAAAGATTTCTGTCTGCTTTGAACACAAAGAGCAGCAGCATGTCTGTCTTTCTGCATCAGTTACTCTCTTTTAATTTTTTCCTTTCACACAGTTAAATTCTTGAGGTTTCTGTTTTCTTGGCTTCCTTTTTTCTATAACAAAAACCAAGATGCTCAAGTTTTAGTTGTTTTACTTGTATGATTCACAGATTGTCTGTTTTTATTCAATCATTCCCTTAATGTTAACATTTTTGAGTCTTTACTCTCAGATTTTTGAAGGACATTAGGAACAAAGCAAGTGAGTTTTCATTTCAGCATGCATCAATCCCTCTGCAGATCCTAAAATAGGTGCTTTAAACGCATCACTATCATTCTATTTGAGGGATCTTTCCCCTACACATACCATTGTTATTTTCTAATAACCTAAAATTACCACATGACACCACCACTATTATTTATTCCTGCATACTGTTGACCTTAAGTACCTTAAATAAATGTGACTTTTAAGCTCTGCACCACGCTGCTAAAGGTGAAAGGGTTTAGATTTGGAAGTAAGTGCTTTTTAAACCCTAAATGTCAAATGACTGAGCCAGCGGAGCCTGAAAGTCTTTCTTTTTAAAGCTGCATTTATGAAGAGTTTTTATTCTGATTCAAGGTGAAGATCTTATTTCCCTTTTGTTCCATCTTCATCAGATTGCAGATGGAAAACAAAACCAGATCAAGGTAATTAACGGATCATAATGATTTTGGCTGAAAAATGAATGGTGGCTAAAAAGCTGTATTTGACAAGAGCTTGAATGTCGGTTATATTCAGACATTTTACTTTTTTCCAATTAGGTGGCTGAAGAACTGGGCCAGTCTCTGGTCCAGTACTTAACTTGTTTGAATCCAACCTAAAGAACAGAAAAGTTCCTGTTCTTTAAGCGACTTTACATTGGAGCGGACAAAGGTCTCATATGGAGTACCCCAAGGTTCCATCTTTGTCCCCCTCTTGTTTAATATCTATTAGCTCCCGCCAGCACTGATTATAGCAAACAGATTACAATAACAATGCTGATGATCCACAGTGTCATGCATAACTTTCTTAGCCATCAAGCACCGAATAGATGCTGAGAACAAATCAATGTGTGAAGGTGCCATAACTTTCTTCAGATGAGCAGAAACAAAACTGAAGCTCTGTGCTGGCTCTTTGTTGTTCCTCTTTACATGCAGTTATTGCAGCTACGCCTGAACCTTCAGACACACAAAGAGACAATTACAATACAAAGTCGACCTTCTATCACCTGAAGAACATTTCTAGGATTAAGTCAGGGTCACATTCACTTATTTCCTTCATTTACTTCATTATGTTTGTCAAAATCTCTTTTCACTTTGACATTAATGAGTTTTTATTCATTTCTATCATAAAAGCCAAATTTTATTGATCATGATTAATTTGTAAAAGCACTAAAAAGAGTAAACACCCAAAGGGGTGACTCGTTTTCACATGCACTGTATGAGCACCGCTTACCCAGTGAAGGGATTTGTTTATTAGCATTGCTTATTCCCCTTTTCTCCACCCAGTCAGTTCTGACAACCTTCAGATGTCAACAGTGGAGAAATAATGTTTTAGTGAGATTAAAAAAAAAAAAAAACTTTTTCTAATTAAAAGTTATTGTTGAAAAGGAGATTCACCTCTGGCTGTTTTGCTTTAAGAAATAAAATTGGGGTTTTGCTGAGTCTCTGGAATCCCAGCTGATGACCCGTTTCCGGTCAATTCCTCTGGTAGAACGAACCACTGCTGTAAATGCAACAATGAGTGGCCTTTATTCACCTAGCTCTGTTTGGACTGGAGATGTTGCTTCTCCGTTCCTCTGAGGTCAGTCAGCTGTGGCCGTGTACAGACATCTACACAGGATCTCACTTTCTTCTCCTGTTTTTGTCCTGGGCCACCCAAATCTTCGAGGTGGTCAGAGGGTCGGTCATCTCACTTGAGGAGTGAGTGTTGCTCAGCTTGGGACGTCGTGGTTCACTGATTAGATTTAATAGATTTTTCAGCAACAATGGAGCTTGTTTCTGTTGCGAGGCAGCGAGGCAGAGCAGAACAGAGTCCATTACCATTCAGTTTCCTACAGTAAACAAGTAAAAGAAAGTGGAGCTGAAGAAGGCAATATGAAGTGTGTTTATGTGTGTGTGTGTGTGTGTGTGTGTGTGTGTGTGTGTGTGTGTGTGTGTGTGTGTGTGTGTGTGTGTGTGTGTGTGTGTGTGTGTGTGTGTGTGTGTGTGTGTGTGTGTGTGTGTGTGTGTGTGTGTGTGTGTACATATACTCAAACACCAGGAGTTTGAGACCAGAACAAATAAATTGAATTTCCTCTGAAAAGTAAGACGTTTTCTTAAAAGTCTGAATATGTTATTGTGTTTCCAGTTTTTACCTGTCAGAGTTTCTACACTTTAGTCCAAAAGTTGTCTCCATCCATCTGCTTTTCCATCCATCATGTCATTCATCTATCAGCTTGTTCATTCATCTTTTCCATCCATCTACCTGCTTGTTTGTATATCCGTCTGTCCATGTACTTGTTTGAGTGTTCGTCCATCCGTCCCCTTGTTCATTCATTCATCCAATCAGCTGCTTGATTGTCATGCATTCATTGGTGGTCAGACGATGCATGACATCCATCCATCCATCCATCCATCCATCCATCCATCCATCCATCCATCCATCCATCCATCCATCCATCCATCCATCCCATCCATCCATCCATCCATCCATCCATCCATCCATCCATCCATCCATCCATCCATCCATCCATCCATCCATCCATCCATCCATCCATCCATCCATCATCCGTCCGTCCGTCCGTCCGTCCGTCCATCCATCCATCCATCCATCCATCTGAGTTTGTTCATCCATCTGTCCATTCATCCATATGCATGTTTGTACATTACATTAATCTATCCCTTTGTATTTGTCTGTTTATCCATCAATCTGTCCACCATCCATTCGTCCATCCACTTGGCCATCCATCCATGAATTCATCCATTCATCCATTCATTTGTCAGCTTGTCTACTGTTGTTCATCCGTCAGTCATCCATTGTGTGTCCATCCTTCGATCGATCCAGTGTCTTCTCTGTCCTTTATGCGTCAGTCCACCCATCTTCCTCATCTCTTTTAGTGGTTTGACCACAGTAGACACATTTGACATTTTTTCTTTTGCTAAAAATGGACTGAGTTTGATTCTGGAAAAGTTTCATTCAAGATTTGAATTTTGTTTTCTCACTCTGCCACCCTGACTGTTGGTGGACACGTTGTGCAGCTCGTCCACCTTCAGTTTGCCAGGAGGAAACTTCTCCTTCCTCTTAGCAGCTTAGAATGGGTCAAATTACCTCCTTGAAATGACTTTTGGCTCCAAGTCCAAGTTCAGCCCCATTGCCTTTGGGGCGGGGGAAGAATTGACAATTTCTGATTTGTTGCTGCAGTCCTCAGCCTGTTTTTGTCAAAATGTCTTTAAGGGATCCTCAACGCACGTTGCACCTTTTTATTTATGGCCGTTTTAGCATCTGGCTGGCAGCCACAGCCAGACGCACCCCCCACAACGCCCTGCTTAAGATGCAGTGGAGCCTCTATGGGTTAGGAGGGCCAGCTCTATCAATCTGCTCCCTTCCGGCCCCCACGTTCCCCTGTGTGGTTAATCACTGCCACTAATTAGTGCTAATTACTCATTTCTGCCCGGGAGAGCCCCCCTCACTGGCTCACATTGATCTGAAGGTCCCCCGCTGCTCGGCACTCCTCAGGTAAGGGAAGGGAGGGCGCAGGTAAGAGGGGAAGTCTTCCTCAGACTGGTTTGTTCTGGTCTGCTTTTGGCCCGGCTTAATGAGCCAGCACCTTTTGCTCTCACTGTCATTAATTGTCCGCAGCCGTGACTCTGGTTTCCACCGCGTTTCGTTTCTGTTCTCCCAGTAATTTTCCTTTAATAGATTCAATTTGCTTTCATTTGCCTTGTATTGATTTATTTGTCCCGCTTTGTCCCGTCAACCATAGAAACCTATAATTTCTCAGAAAAGTTTGCGAGGGGATACGAAGGAAAAGAAAAAAACTCATTTAATTTGTTAATATTGAGCAAATTATAAAAAAAGAGAGGGATGACAAATGATGTTGATATGAGGTGGAAATGAGGCTTGACTAAAGCTGAACTCATTTCTTTGAAGCTGGTGGCGATATTAGGGGTTTCAGATCAGGTGCAAACAGTGGAGCTTAATGAGAGGCTGAGACAGTCACGTTGCTAAACTCCATTATTTTATCTGACAGATCTTAACCTGTCAAAATTGAAACCTGCTAATGGAAGTGGAGTGCTTCATGTCAACCCTAAATAATTATACAATGACGGCTGATGGGGATGTGGGGAGTAAATTGGTATTTTGCAAATACATTTTAGGCTAAAGGGTAGCGGGTGTGTGTGTGTGTGGGGGGGGGTGTGTGTGTGTGTGTGTGTGTGTGTGTTAAGTAATCTGTTAATTTTCTGGTTTGGTCACATGACCTGCAGACTGACAGACAGACTTTTAAGAAAACTTTCAATGGCGGGTAAAACAGCAGGTCAATAGAGGTGGAACCAAAACCAGCTCTGTCTCAACTGTTTGCTGAAAGATCATGGAAGATGGTGAGGAATGTTTTAATAGAGAGCCTCCATCCTCATGTTTCATCAGTTTGAACCTCTGGGCTGATTAAGGCCTTATTGATCCTCTGGTAACTAAGAACATCGATTAGACGTTATTTATTGACAGTAGAATTATTATTCTTAACCAGACTAAAAGCATTTACCTGTGGAATGCTAAGTGTATGTATTGCTTGGTGCACATATTGTTGATATAGTTCAGGGATTCAAGGGTTTTTGTTGTCATACCACCACCGGCCACCAGGGGCACCCCAGCGTGCCCCAGCCCCAGGCCAGGGTGGCTCCAGGGTGGGACCTCATGTACGGAGAGAACAACCCCTGTTTCCAACGGTCGTATCATCATAAGGGATCTTTGGGCTGCACTTGGTCTGGTCCCTCACCTAGAACCGTCTGCACTGGGCAGCAGAACTCCTGGATCACTGGGACACGCAAACCCCCCACCACGATAAGGTGGCAGCCCATGGAGGGGGTGTGGGTGTGTGCGTGTGTGTGTGTGTGTGTGTTAAGGAAGTTTCTTTTTGGGGGCGATTTGCAGCGACCAACTGACCTGACCTGCATGTTTTAGGAGATGTGGGGGGAACCGGAGCGCCCGGGGAAAACCCACGCAAACACGAGGAGACCATGCAAACTCCACACAGAGGGTCTCTGTGAAGACGCAGCGCTAACCGCTGCGCCACCGTGCTGCCCACGTTTTTTCAATTGGGTGGGGAAGGCTTGGTTAGGCTTGTAAGGGTGTGTGTGTGTGTGTGTCTGTGTGTGTGTGTGTGTTAAGTAATCTGTTAATTTTGTGGGAGAGAGAGAAAGAAAATTGATTTTTTTTGGGTCCATTTGTGAGATAAAGTCAATGTTTCAGTTTTTAGGGTCTAATTAAATTTTTTAGGCTCTAATTAAGTTTTTTAGGCTCCTCCCAATTATTTAGAAATTGGGAGCAGAGAGAAGGGAAAGACATGCAGCAGATTCCCCAGGACTGGGAATCAAACGCAGGTTGACAAACAAAACCTTTCAGTCATGTCCTAAATAAAACCTCATTTTGACAAGTTTAGCAATGAAACACAGTAAAATGTGTTGGGAGTTTCTTTTCGGGGGCGATTTGCAGCGACCAACTGACCTGACCTGCATGTTTTAGGAGATGTGGGGGGAACCGGAGCCCCCGGGGAAAACCCACGCAAACACGGGGAGACCATGCAAACTCCACACATAGGGTTTCTGTGAAGACGCAGCGCTAACCGCTGCGCCACCGTGCTGCCCACGTTTTTTCAATTGGGTGGGGAAGGGATCGAATTTAGGGGAAAAACGTAGCTGCTGTAAACGTCCTGCTGTCAGAGCGTCGCATGACGCCCCGAACGCAGACGCTACAACCTTCCTGCGTCTGATTCCAGTCCTCAGTCTCTCTTGCATGTCTTGCTCCTTCTCTGATTGCTTCACTCTTTTGGTTTTTTTGACTTCTTCAGTCGCAGAGTGTTACAAATTTTTTTCCAGATTGAAAATTTGGACTTTCTCTTCTCACCCTCCTGCATGGTGTCAGTGTGTTGATGGTCCATCTCTTCCATGCCAGTTTCGCCAGTGATCTCCTCCGTGGATTCTTGGTCCGTGGAACAAGCTCCTCCAGAAAGCTCCTCCTCCGAAGAATCCTCTTGACTGGAAACTTGGACCAGGTCGAGTTGGATTAGAGAACTTACCTCCTTCTCTTGGGAACCATCCTTCTCTTGTCTCAGCAGGTCAAAAATGACTTGGAAAGAGCCAGACAGATCCTGTCTGGCTCTTTCCAAGTCATTTTGCAGACAGGCCACCTGCTGTTGGTACTGCTCTGTTAGTTGTATCAAAGCAGTGATGTCCGTCTCGTATCTGCAGCTGAGCTCTTTGTACCTACTGTCAGCCTTCTGCAGCTCATCCTGGGCGCTGCTGACCTTCTCCTGCAGGATGTTGACCTCTTGTCTGCTCTTTTCCAGGAGGACGGCGTTCTCGGCTCTGATGATGTCGAGCATTGCCTCGTCCTCCTCGGATTTCTTTCGATGACTTTCTCTCTCCTGTGTGATCTGCTGCTGCAGTTTTTTAACTTGCTGTTTTAGGGCACAAAACGTTCTTTCCTGGAGAAGCTGCTCTCTGTTACCAAGGGACATTGTCTGTTGCTTGATCCTCTGCCGGTACGACTCATTCTGCTGCTGCAGATGGATGATGTCCGTCTCGTACCGGCAGTGGAGCTCTTTGTACATCTGGTCCTTTTCCGCTCTCTCGTTCTCCAGGATTCTTTGTGCTTCTTTGATTCCCTCTTCATAAACCTTCTGTGTTTGGGCCTCCAGCCTCACCAGAGCAACTTCAGCTTCGTACTTGGAGCTCAGCTCCTTGTACGAAGTCTGAAGTGCGTCCATTTCTTCCTGGAGGCCCTTACTCTTCTCTCTCTCTCGCTCCAGCTCTGCCTCCAGGTGGGCCAGTCGCTGGTGGTCTTCATACCTTCCAGCTCTCTCCATCTCCAGGAGGGAGCTCAGCCTACCGATTTCCCCTTGGGAGGCATTGGGCTGCACAGAAGGGAACCCGCCTTGGTGGTTCTGCTGGGCTCCCCTTCTCCCGTGGGGTCCAATCAGTTCAAAGTTGAATGTCGGTGAACGATGAGACATTTTTTCTCCTAATGCTTTCGCTAAAATCGTCGTTTGGAAAACTTCCTTAAAGAGTTTTGCGAGCGTCTGAACAAGTCAGGGGTATTGCAAGCAATGACAAATGTGCAGAATTGTGTTACATACGATTCTCCAGTTGATGACATCACTGACAGCCTCGGCCGTGACATCACAGAATCTCCCTTTGCTGGTGGAGTGACATCATTCCACCACCAATTATCCTACTCTTTATTCTTTACCTTCAAAACAAGAATAATTCCTGATTCATTGTTTTTATCCCGTATATCAGGAGCATTTGACTCATTTCCATTTGGGGCCAGATAGAAAACGATAGTGGGAAAGAAAATGTATCATAAATAGACGTAAACAAAGTTTGTAATGTTCTGGTGTAATTGTTTATTGTTGTCATAGCAGCCGCCTACCAAGATGGC